CACCCTCCCCTGTACCCCTACCCATCTGCACACCCTCCCCGTACCCCTACCCATCTGTGCACCCTCCCCTACACCCCCACCCATCTGCACCCTCCCCTACACCCCTACCCATCTGTGCACCTTCCCTAGTGTCTGGCTTCAAATGAATGACCATGCAAAGAAGTTCATTTCTAATAAAAATTTTGGTGGGGACCTGCTTGTGCCCAAACAGATACCTTCCTGGGAAGATATCTTTCCATCCATCCAACCTACCAACGGAACTATCCTTGCATTTACTTAGCCATGCACTCACCCATCAATCCACTCATTCCTCTACCCATTCATTCACCCAGACATCCACCTGCCAACTGAACTATCCATCCACCTACCCCCCCACTCACCCACCTATCCACCCATCCATCCAGTGATCCATTGATCCATCCATCCAGTGATCTATCCAATAATCCATCAAGTCATCTACCTATCCATCCATTCATCCATCCATCTACCCATCCAGTGACCCACCACCCACCCATTCATTATCCGGCGATCCATCCCTCGATCCATCCATCCAGTGATCCAACCACCCATCCATTCATTATCCAGCGATCCATCCCTCGATCCATCCATCCAGTGACCCACCACCCACCCATTCATTATCCAGTGATCCATCCCTCGATCCATCCATCCAGTGACCCACCACCCACCCATTCATTATCCAGCGATCCATCCCTCGATCCATCCATCCAGTGATCCAACCACCCACCCATTCATTATCCAGTGATCCATCCACCTACCCATTCATTATCCAGTGATCCATCCCTCGATCCACCCATCCAGTGACCCACCACCCACCCATTCATTATCCAGCGATCCATCCCTCGATCCATCCATCCAGTGATCCATCCACCCACCCATTCATTATCCAGCGATCCATCCCTCGATCCACCCATCCAGTGATCTATCCACCCATCCATCTACCCATCCATTTGTCCCCTTCGCATCTGGGCTTCCCACAAGCTCATGTGTTGAATATTTGGTCCACAGCTAGTGTTGCTATTTTGAGAGGCTGTGAAGACTTCAGGAGGCAGGATTTAGCTGGAAGTAGGTCACTGTGAGTTTATCCTAGGAGATATGCCATTCCTGGCTTCTGCCCATCTACCTTTCTTTGCTTCCTATCCACCGTGAGGTGAGAACATTCTCTGCCACAAGCTCTAGCTACCATAATGGGGCGAAGTGACCAAACAATGGAGCCTCTGAAACTGTGAGCCAAAATACACAATTACTCTCTTTAAGTTGTTCCCATGTACTTCAGTCACAGCAACACCGAAATAATCAATATGCCATTAGCCAGCCCATCCAATCCAACCACATCCTTGCAACCTTTCACCTATCCATTCCCGTGCCTCCCCACCCACCCAGTCTCCCACCCATCCTTCCATCCATCTACCACTCGCCCAAGCCTTCTCCAAGTCTATTTGGAGCCAACAGTAGAACTCTAGCCTAGTCCCTATTCCAAGGGGCACGGGGTGCCTGGGACTCACTCACCTGGCAATCTCGGCAATCTCTGCCGTCTGCACGATGAAACCATAGGGGTCAAGCTCCTCCTCATCGTCATCTGTGTCCCGAGGGCCGGGAGCCCGGGATCGAGCCCGACCAGAGCTGCTGGCCCGCAGGGTCTGCGTGGCTGTCGAGGCATGGGAGCGTGTGTGTTTGGGGGAGCTGTGGTGGGAGCCGTACTCCTCCTCAGAGGTGGATGTGTAATCTGAGCCCTGCTGCCGACGACGAGTGTCTTGAGTGGATTGGTTTCAGAAGCAAGAACAGAACAGAGCGGTGCTCAGACCTTCTGGCAGGGCCTCGCACGACAGGGCAGGCTGTGCGACGACTGGCACTCCACACCCAGAAAACCCCGCCAGAAGCACCTGCCACTGCCACACACCAGCCATGGTGAGGCCAGTGCCATTCACGGCCCTGGGGTGAGTGTGTATCTTACAGACGGAAGCCAGCCCTTGGTGGATGCCCCGGGGAGTGTGCACCTGACAGACGGAAGCCAGCCCTTGGTGGACGCCCCGGGGAGTGGCACCTTACAGATGGAAGCCAGCCCTTGGTGCCAGGGAAGGGTGCTAGGCAGAAAATAGGGTAAGCCTCTCACAAGGATCAGCCATGCCTTGGGGGGGGGCCCTGTCCAGCGGGTAGGGGTAGCCATGCCAGCCTAGGTTATGCATTCACCAGACAGCCCCTTGGGCAAAGCCTCTCATGTCTTTAGGGGCCATAGCATGGATGGACTCCTTGCCTAGCCCTTCAACAGGTCTGAATAGGAAACGCATGCTAAGTGATAGGGATGAGGGACAGCAGCCCACCAAGCAGAGGTCCTCAGCCCACAGCCACTCTGACCCCCACCTGTCCCAGCCTGTCCAGCCAACAGCAGACAGGGTGGGGCTGAGGGCGGGAGGGCGGGGATGCTGCTGAAGCACCTTGATTCATCAATCCACTCAGTCCACTCACGCTGCTTCCTGGACGGGAGGGCTGGCTCTACCCAAGGTCAGGGCCAGTTCCTGGGGGCAGGGAGGGGGGCTCCACCCGAGGTCAGGGCCAGTTCCTGGGGGCAGGGAGGGGGGCTCCACCCGAGGTCAGGGCCAGTTCCTGGGGGCAGGGAGGGGGGCTCCACCCGAGGTCAGGGCCAGCTCCAGGTGGCAGCCATCCCTTCTCATTTGGGCCTCAGAGCACAGGGTGGGGGTGCTTCTCATTGGGGGTGGCATAATCCTCCCCACCCACAGGTCTGTGGCTCAGAAGGTTGTGAGGCTCCACAGAGGGGCACAGACACATCCCCAGTAGCACAGGAGACAGAGGACCAAGGCAGAGCCCAACGAGGGCTGGAAAAGCCCTTGCTGTGCCTCAGGTGGTCAGCTGTGTGGCCTCACACATCTTCAGAGGCCCTGGAGAAGGAGAGCAGCCGGCCTACCCCACCATGGGGACCCAGAGGCACGAGGTGCACGCGTGGCCTGTGCACATGTGCACATCTGCAAAAGGCACCCCCAGCTTTAAGAAGTGACCCTGTTGGCAGCCACCTGCCCCCCCAGGTCGACCGCCCACCCCTTGGTACTCACTGGAGGAGTATCTGGCACTGCCTGGTCGGGCACGGCTGAAGGGCTGGCGGGGGCCGGCGTTGGCAGCAGTGGCAGCAGCCTTCCTGGCAGCAGCACGGGCCTCAGCCATGGTGGGCTTACGGCTGGTGCAGTACAGCTCTGCACTGCGGCCAGAGAAGCCAGTACGGGTGGGGGTCACCTCTGAGTCACTGGGCCCCGTGAAGGAGCCGGCCCGCTTACGGGGCATGGCCAGGATGTCCAAGCGTGTCAGCTTCTTGGCCTGCTCTGTGGCTGGCCGGCTGGCCGGCTCAGGGTTGGCTGGGGGCCCCCGTTCACCATCCACAGCCTCTGTGTCAGACGCTTCCCCGAGTCGGGCCCGCCTGAGCCGGGAGGCCCTGGTGGGCCTTGGGGTGGACAAGCTGTTGGAGCGAGTCAGGGCCTGTTGGACCTTCTGGGCACTGGTGGAGACACGGCTCTGCTCCTCGCGGGTGGCAGGGGAAGGAGGGGAGGGCGCTGGCTTCCGGCGGGGCCCTGGCTGACTGGCCCTTGGGGCCTCAGTGGCCTCGTGGTTGGAGGTGGCTGTGACTGAGTTGGGTGGGTTACTGGGGCCAGAACCTCGCTCCTCATCGGGCCAGTCCAGGGACCCTCGGGGCCCATGGCTGCGCCGCACAGCTTGGCGCCGTGCTGACTCCCCACGGCCCAGGTCTGCTGTGCCCAGCGGCCGGTGCGGCTTTTCTGACAGGCGCTCATGGGCATCGCCCGGGCTGGCAGCTCCTGAATCTGGCACCAGTGGTGGGGAGGACAAGCTCTCTTTCTGTGGTCCCAGGGCCTGGGGGGTTGTTGGGCTGGGTCCATTCCTGCCACTGAGCAGGCTGACAGTGCTGGCCGTGTCCACATCCGAATCCCCAGACAGAGAGTCCTCCGGGGGCCTGGGGGCACCCCCCTCGCCCTCTCCATCCGGTGGCTTGGAGAGCAGTCGGGCCTCGAGCGCTGCCAAGGCTGTCTCTGTCTCCTTTAAAATCAGGTGGGTATCCTGCGTGTGGAAGTCCATGCGTGAGGCCCGAGCCGCAGCCAGGTCCTGCAAGAGGGGGTGGCTGGAGATGTGGGGGAGCTTGCCGGGTGCCGGGGGGCCACTGTCTGGCTCCTTAGTGAAACTCTCTTGTCGGACAAAGGCCAGGGCCTCCTTGGTAGGGGCTGGTCCAGGGCTGCTGGGCTCCGGGGACCGCCCAGAACGCAGCTGGATGACCATCCTCCCGCTAGGGCTGACATAGACGCCATCCTTCACTGGGAGGCCGGCTTGGGCTGCCCTCCCTGGGCCGTCTACCTCCCCAGGAGCCACCAACGGTTTCCGGGGAAAAGTGGCCTCCCCATTCTGGTCTCCAATGAAGAAAGAGGTGGGGGCTGGTTCCCCATGAGCCCGCTGAGAGCGCCGACCCCTGGTCCAGGCTGCTGTCTCTTGAGGATTCACGTGCCTCTCCCCCTGCTGCTCCATGCCCGGCTCTGGGCCTCGGCCCCCATCTGACCCACTGGCATCACTGAGGCTGTCGGGGTCTAGGTCTTCCTGGCCTGGGAGGCGGCCAGCCTGCTCACTGCCCGGCTCTGGTGGCCCTGGCCCATTCCTCCTGGTCACCTCAGGCCCGGCGGGGCTGTCAGCCCTGTCACTGGGCAGCTGGGGAAGCAGTCGCCGTGTACGCACGGGCAGGGGCCCGTCAGACTCTCCAGTTCTGTGTCCAGGCCCGTCCTCTGCAAGGCAAAAGGCCAGTCCAGTTACAGCGGCCACAGGCTCTATGCATGCACACAGGGCCCAACCTCCTGAGGCACAAGATGACATGGGCTCTGTCTGTGGCCAGTGCCAAGGCTGCCCTGGCTTGGCCCCCTGGGTCACGTACCTGTGAAGCCCGGGTCCGAGTAGCTATCGGCCAAGCTGGCCCAGCGGGACACCCACTTCTGAGCCCCAGGTGAGCCTGGAACCAGGTGGCCCTGCAGAGGATGGAGCAGAGTGAGAGGTAAGCGCAGCAGACCTCACGTGGGCCTTGCGCCTGGCGGGAGAGCCCTGCCAGAACACGCTAGGACAGTGTCTCACAGCACAGCGCAGGTCAGTGGCTGTAGCTGTGGCAAACTCCTGGATTCTGTCCAGCCCCCCTGGGGCAGCACATGCCTGGTGCTAACCAACTCAGGGCCTCAGCACCTGGCCCCAATCCCACCCCCCTGCCAGGAGAGTGGGCCTGGAGGAAAGGCCCAGCCAAGCCCCCTAACCTCGGGCCAGGCCCTTTTCAGAGGGGCTTCTGGGATTGTACCTGGTGCTCTGTTTGGGGGGCCACACCCGAGGGCCGGGAGGCAAACTCCTGCAGCAATGCCATCCTTTGGGCCACACCCTCATCCACAGACTCATCTCTGTCCCCTTTGATGACTGGGCGGAAGGTGGCTGAGGACACTCTGGAGAGTTCAGGGGCCTCAAACACCCCAAATACCTGCCAGAGAGAATGGCACAGAGGGCCAGAGGAGCCCAGCCATCCAGCTGGGCACGTCAAAGGGGAAACAGGCCCAGCCCTGGCGCAGCACAAGGCAGGGCCAGAGGGCAGCTCAGCTTTTGAGGCCTCTCTCCTGTCCCCTCCTGCTTGGTTGGACCAGCCATACGAACTAGAGCAGGGCTGAAGCAAGCCAACGTCCACCCACCACATGCCTACCAGCCCATACACCCCAACCCCCCACGCTGCCTGCCCCGCACCCACACACCTGATCAATCATCTTCCGGGCCTCTTCCACCTCCCTGTCCTGCACGTCTGTCTCGATGGTGTAGGTGCCTGCATCACTCAGACTGTCGTCTTCCTCCTGCCTTCGTGCCTTCGTCAGCTGGGGGTCAGCAGGCAGGGGTGGAGGGGTTGGGGGGGCCACGGGGCTGGCTGTACCGGGCGTCAGGGGCGTGGGCAGCACTGGGGGCACCTTCTCTGGGCCTGGCCGGGGGGCTGGGGAGCTGTCGCGCAGACACTGGGCCATGAAGTCCTGTGCCAGGCGGGAACGGCGCCCCACGCTTCCGAAGGGGCGGGCTGGGGTGCGTGTGGCGGGCACAGAGCCACCCAGCCGCTCCTCGGTCTTCTCCCGTTTGAGCGAGCTGGCCCGCTGGGGCCCCGCGCTGCCACCTGTGGGGCGGGCTGGGGCGCTGGGGCGCTCCCTGTCAGCAGTGCCTGGGCCACGGCGCTTGTCCACCTTGGGGTCCCCGGGCGGGGTGTGTGTGAAAGACTGTGAGCGCTTCTTACGAGGCGTATCCTCGTCAAAGAACTCGATGACAAAGGCCTGCTGGTTGTGCAGCAGCTCCTGCGGGTCCCGCTTGATCTGCCTCTGCAGGCGCACCTGCTCCGCACCGGCCTCCGCAGGGGCCGCCTTGGCCAGGGGGTCTTCGGAGTCGCTCTGCGTGCCGTCCTCATGCTTGTGGCCTGGGGACGCCAAACATCAGAAAACAGCCATCAGCTGTGGGGACATCACGTCTCACACCCAAAGGGCAGTGGACACACGTGGTCTCCTAGCACACAGGGTGGAGCTGCGCCACCAAGGCCTGCACGCTGCCCCTCCATCAAGCAGGGGTCCTCAGGAAAGTCATAGGAAAATGAAAACCAACCAAGCCACGTGACCATGCAGGCCTGTTCCCAGGCACGGTGGGCACCGGGAACAGACAGACGGGGTGCCCCGGCCTGCCCAGCCTCCGACGAGCCCTCACCCTTCAGGGTCCGGCTGTGGACGGGCAGGTCACTCTTGGTGCTGTGGCGGTCATCCCCAGGGCCTGGCCGGTGAAGCAGGCTGGGGTCATTCTGCACCAGCCAGTCGGCCACTTTGGTCTCAGCTGAGACCAGCTCCCCTGGGGAGGCCTCCCTGGCCGGGGGCCGCCGCTGGCGCAGGGAGAACTTGGTGATGTGGTCCTTGATCTTCACTTTCCCAGGGCTGCAGTCATCAAACTCAATGGTGAAGGAGGCGTGGCTCTGTACCACAGGGGCCGTCCCGCCGCTGCCAGCCTCCTTGTCCTTCGTGGGTGCCTCAGGGGTCTGCAGCGGCTGCGGAACCTCCTTGGTGGGGATCTCAAAGTAGCTGGGCTCACGCCGGAGTGCACAGCCCTGGTGCTCAGTGGTGGTGCGGAAGCCATCCAGCTCGCCACCCTGTGTCAACGGCTCCCTGGGACGCTCTGGGGAGAGATGTCCTCAGACCAGCCACCCTGCCTCCCTCTCCTCCCGCAGCTCCCTACGCACAGCCTGGCCACCCCCTTCGTCTGCACTCTGCCATCACTAGACGTCTCAGGGCCCAGGCAGGGAGACCCACCTGGGTAGGGCTCCTCCTGACGCCGGTCCTCAGGTGTGGCACTGTCATCCTCTCCCCACCAGGAGGGCTGCCCGTACAGGGGCGTGCGGTAAGCCACTGCCTCTGCGGGGGACGTTCAGACCCAAGTCAGTGTGGCCCCAGAGCAGCCCCAGGGCCGCCCTCCAGGACCCCGAGCAGCTGTTGACCCCCACCGTCCCCACAGTGGGCTCCAAGCCCCTGTGTGTCTCCCCACGGCTGTATCTGCTTGGAAGGCCGAGAAAGTGGCCTGTCCAGGCTGCACCGCCATGGCCTCAGTTGGAACCCAGCCACCATCACCGGCTGTGAGCACTCACAACCCAGACACTGACAGGTGCTCTGAGCAGCTCAGATGACTTTCTGGAAATCCTCCCAGTTCCCAGCGGTCTTTCAAAAGATGAGTAAAAACCTGCTGTCCCCGGAGGAAGAGTTGTCACTCCAGGCACACCTGTGGCCCCAGCAGACGCTGGTAGCTCCACGTGGGAGCATGGGTGGGCGTGGGAGCCGAGCAGGTGGAGGGCAAGGCGTAGCCCTCCTGCCTCAGCTCCCGCCCCTCTACTTCTGACTTGCTGGAGGGCCACAAGGGTGGCCGGCTGGTGGCCCCTCATCTGGAGGCTCACAGGCTGAGGAACCTGGGCATGCTCAGGCACACAGCCCACACAGAAGCTGTGCTGGCTGCTGAGAGGTGCTGAGACCAGGAGGGCCCACAGAGGAGAGGGGTCACTGGGGAACTGAGCACAGGGAACGCGATGGCTAGGGCAGGGCCTGGCGGTGGCCCGTCTGCCCACCCCTCCCTGGTCCATCCCTGTTCCCACCACCAAGACCTACCTGTGCCAGGCCTTCGGTCCCCTTTCTCTGGCCTGGGGTGGGTGGACTCACAATAGGGTGTGGACTCCTGCAGGGGCTCACCCCTCTTGGGCAGGGAGCCCTTGACGCTCACCTGCAGCTGGCTAGTGTACTTTTCATGCTGTGGGCAGACAGCAGGGGTGCGGACCAGTGTCAGCCTGGGGACACCCTCATCCATGGCGGGTCCTGAGCAAGAGACCTGCCCCTGGGGCCCAAGGTCCATGCTGAGGCATCTAGAACTTTGGGGACAGGTGGAGCTAGCTTCAAGGGGGAGGATGGAGCAGGAAGGCCCTGGGAACTTCTGCCCTCAGATTCCACCCATGATAGGCCCCACCCATGAGGTCCTTGGGGAGGAGAGCAGAGCCACCAGCCGAGTGTGCGAGCAAGGGCTCACGTGGCTCACGTGGGTCCCATCTCTGGCTGCAGGGGCCTACGATGGCCAAGTTGATTTGGAAAATGGGGCTAAGTAGAGCCTGCCTCACCAAGGGCCCCTGTGGAGCTCTGAGCAGGGCCCTGCGCCCATACCCCATGACCCTGGGGCATGAAGGGTGACGAGGCCCTGAACCCACTCCACCCAGAGTCCTCACACCCCACTGGGGCTCGGCCACACATGACGCTGGCACGCTGGGATGTGCCATCCCAGAGGTGTTCCACTGGCCTGGCCACTGCTCCTGCCCCCCCCCCAGACCATGTCAGGATCTTCCTCTACGCAAGGAGTCGGTCAGGTGCCCATGGTTCAGCCCTATCATCCTAGCTACTTGGGAGGCTAAGTTCCAAGGATTGCGGTTCGAAGCCAAGTGAGTAACAAAGTCTGTGAGATTCTCATCTCCAATTACTCAAATAATCACAAAAAAACTAGAAGTAGAGCTGTGGATCCAGTGGTAGAGCACCAAACTTAAGCACAAAAGTTCAGGGACAGTGTCCAGGCCATGAGTTCAAGCGCCTGGGACCAGGATGCAAGCATGCGTGCGCGCGCACTCACACACACACACACACGCACGCGCACACACACACGCGCGCACACACACGCGCACACACACGCGCGCGCACACGCACACGCACGCGCACACACGTGGACACACGCGCGCGCGCACGCACGCGCACACACGTGGACACGCGCGCGCGCACGCACGCACACACACACACACACACACGCGCGCGCACACACACACACACACACACACGGGGCCCACGGGCCTTGAGAAGTCACACCTCACCTCACTTCACCCACCAGTGGTGTACTTTCCTCCTAACAGGCGACCATCCCTCCTGCCAGCTGACCCCCGCAGGCCCCTGGACTTCCCAGCTCCCTGCACAGCCTGTCGATAACTCTCTGAGCTACAGAACCAAACTCCACCAGAATGGCGCTGAAAGCCCTCTCAGCAACAGGAGGCCAGCCACTCAGCCCTCTCTTACTCTATCCTGCCCCAGCTACCCCTCTGCAAGCCTGGAGAGAGTAATGGCTACTTCCCCACCTGCTAGACTGGGTCTTCAGGCAGAGCAGGCCAGGCCAGGCTGATTCATGGCACCCCAGCCAGGATGGGGTGCCTAGGGACCAGGGGAATGTTTGCAGGGAGAGAGGGCAACCAAAGCAGACAGGGCTGAGCCCTACTGGCCAGAGATCCCCATGGGGCCTGGCCACACCTACCTTGAGCGCTTCCTCGGGGACACGGTGCTGCACACGCTCCAGCACATACATGTTAGAATGTGGTTGCGCTAAGGAGAACACAGAGCAGAGCCGAAGGACCTGTGTCCTGGAGACCAGAGGCTCTGGCCCACATCAACAGGAAGGCTCCTTCCTGGGGAAGCCCAGCACACACACACGCACGCATGCACGCACACGCACATACACCACACATGCGTGCACACACCACACACACACACCACACACACACACACACACACACCAAGCTCAGAACATACCATGTCTAGCCTGAGAGCCTCAGAGTCAAGCCAGGACTCTGAATCCCAAAGAGTAGTCAGTTGTCCCCCAAGCCCTGTGTGACCTCAAGGCTGGGACCCCTAGCAAACAGCCATCAGGACACCCACGCCTCGCTTCTGGGTAGTGTGAGTGACTGCAGCGTGGGCCCCGAGGAAGAGCAGAGGGGATTCTTCAGGACAAGGATATCATAGCCGAAGCGGATGACATCATTGAGCTTCAGTGTGACGTACTTCTGATCTGGGATGCGCACCTCGTTCACAAATGTCTGTAAAGGGAAGGTGGTGCTGAGGCTGGGCAGGGCAGGGCAGGGCAGCAGCTGGCGCTTGCAGACTGTCCCAGCCTCCCCGGACCCTGGCTGAGCTCAGAGCCTGTGAACAGACCTCTCTGCTGGTCCTTCAGAGCCCAGGTGCCCAGACCAGGCTGGTACAGGAAGTACCCTCAGGGACCTCGAAGCCATACAAGTATGATAGTGGTCTGCTCACCACACGGCCTTCCCTATCACAGCTACTACTTCTGAGGGTGGGCAGGGAAGAAGCCTGGGGCTAGCGTCAGCAGGGCCTGGAGCCCCCGGCGGGGAGCCCCAGGTGGGCTGCTGAGGGTAGGGCTCAGGGCCACATGGAGGCCGAGCCTCCTGGGATGCTGGGGATTCCACTCAAGATCGCACAGGCAGGAATGAGATGGAGCCGGTGGCCCGTGTCCATCAAATGCAGAAAGAAACCCAGGGATGTCCAGATAGGCTGCTCCAGGAGAGACAGACGCCCTTGGCCCTGCACAGGGCCTTCTTTGTCCTTCTGGCCTGCACACCCGGCTCACTCTCCCCAAGCTGTAGTCAGGGCCTTCCTCCTGACCTCTTCCCTGTCCTGGTCACCCCTAACTCTCAAAAAGGTTCCATGCCAGCACCCAGCAGAGCTTGTCTCCCTGCTCAGCACCTCCCCTCCTACTCTCAGCACGACAGCAAGAGCGGGGCTGGGGGCAGGGCTGGGGGAGCTCGGAGGGGTCAGGGGAGAGGCAAGGCGCAGGGCAGGGGCTCCAGGACTGGCTGCGGTGGAGGGGAAGAGGCCCCGAGGACACTCACCCCGTTGAGGCTGCCCAGGTCTTTCACCCAGTGCTCGTCACGGTCCTGGTCGTAGTTGATGACAGCATGCTGCTTGTCCACGCTGCGGGACTAGGGAGGCACAGGGCTCTCAGGCACCCAGAGGTCCCAGGACAGGGCTGCCCCAGCCCCCGGGAGGCGCCCCTAGGCTGGCGTGCTGGTCACAGCACCAGCTCTCCTCCTGAGCCTGGGGACCGCAGCCATGTGCGCACACAGTGTGTGCACCACTGAAGCCACCAGCGAGATACCAGCCCCCCCGCACAGTGCTGCCGTGAGGCCCTCCCCTGTGACCACTCTCCCCCACATCCTGCGCCAGGCCCAGGCGTGGGAACCTCTCTGGTCATCTGGGACAGGCCATTCTCTCCCAAGGGCAGGCGGGGGTGGCCAGCACAGAGTCCAGTGGAGGTTACAGGAGGCTGATGAGGGAGCAGTCCTCCCCCAAGTCCACAGAGCACCGCAGCCCATGGTGCTCCTGCAGTCGCCCCGCCTGGCTCCCTTGACCCCCACACCAGCCTGCACACACACACACACACACACACACACGGGGACTTCCACCCTGAGCTCTCTCATCTTCCCTGGAACCCCTCCCAAGGACGGCCACCAGCTTCCTTATGGTCTCGGGTCCAGGTGCAGGATCACAGCCAAGAGCCCCCACCCCACCCCACCCAATTCCCTATCAGGACACAGGCAAGGACAGGGACATGGTCTATTAGGTTTCACCAGTATGAGCCCATTGTCAGCCAACCCCCCAGCCCATGCCACCTGTCACCTGTGCTGCTGGGCACCTCCTGTCACCCCTGCTGCCTGGGCCCAGCAGAAGCAGCAGCAGCAGCAGCAGCAGCAGCAGCAGCAGCTCACTCAAGGAAGCCACCCAGCCTTCAGCCCAGCCAAGAAACAAGGGTGAGTGACAGCCTGGGATTCAGGCAGCTTCCTGGGGACCATCCACACAGCAGTCCCTTAAGACAGGGAGGTCCATCTCTGTGCCTGCCGGGAGAAGGGCACCACGGCCCTCCTCCGGGTGCAGGGCCGCTCCCACCCATGACCGGTGGGCTGGTTAGGCAGACCACCTCCACACAGCTGGCCATGTGGCAGAGTCCCTCTCCAAGGACCAGCACCCCAGGACAGGGCCTCTTCCTCAATCAGAGACAGGGCACTCAGCAGAGGCTGCGGAGAGGGACATGGCCCCAGTCCCTGCCCGGCCCCCACCGTCACCCAGCAGAGCCAAGGCCTCAGCTCTGGCCCTAGCAGGGAACTAGAGCAAGACTTAGACACAGCCCTGGGGCCTGGGGCCTGAGCCCCAGCCTGTCACCTCAGGAGCGAGTGCCTCCAAGCAGGCAGCTGGCCCATAGGCCACTGCAGAGGAATGGGGGCGGGGAGGGCAGATTGCACAGGAGCCCACACAGAAGGGGGCAGAGAAGACAGAATGAGGAGCAACAGGAGTGGGGCCTGGACCCCGGGCCTTCTTGGAAGTGGGAGAGGCAGTGATGTGATGGGAGAGTCCCTGAGTGACTTCCACTGGTTGCGGGCGGGTCATGGCTCAGCCTGCCCAAAGCCGCCATGGGCATCCGCAGACTGCCCCCAGAGCAGATCTGGGGCAGAGTGGGTTGCTGACATTGAGATCTATAGCCCTGCCACCAGATTCCACCTCTAACGTGGTCCAAATTCCTCACCCAAGGCTGGTACTCACAGCAAGCTGCTCCTTCCCATCCCAGTCCTGGAGGGCACAGGCCCGGGGTCATGCCCACCACTGGCCCCTCCATGAGGCCTCCAGCCTGGCCCCTGAGGTCTTGGGGAGAAGGGGTGCTCACCCAGGACACTGCCACTTCTTTCTTTAAGGCTCCGGGCTGGGGCAGCCAAGGGAGCACCCCTCCCACACCTGGCTGCAAGAGGGTCCACACAGGCCCCCATTCATGCCTGGTCTGCCCACCTACTCCACCACTGCTAGCCAGGGCTCCATTCTCAGATACTGCTAGCCAAAGCCCTCCTGGAGGACAGGAGTGCCAAGACCCAGGCTCTCTCCCAGAAACCTCCCTCCTGCCTAACTCCTCAGGCTGAAGCAGATCCTACCCAGCCAAGCCACATGGTCTACAAGCCCACCTACCATGCAGCAACCCCACCCCAGAGCTCAGGCTCTGACCCAAACCAGGAGCAGTGGAAGAGAACAAGGCCATGGGGAAAGGAGGGGCAAATGCAGGCGTAACCATCATCTATGTGTGCTCACTCAAAGTGGAACAAAGATGTGTTTCCAAGGTTCATGCCTGAACTCTGTTCTGGCTGAGCTGGCCCTCCCAAAGCACACTCCAGCAGGCCCGCCTCCCGCTGGCCATCCCGGTCGCCACCATCAGCAGGCTGACTGGACTGGCGCTGAGTGTAGGACTCCACGGCCACTCTGGCTATGATTTCTGCATTGGGTTGTGCGGGTTCTCATCCTGGCTGTCACACAAGCCACGGGCAGCCAAAGCGCCGATGGACTGGAGGCAGAGAGGACTGCTGCCCTAACCGGCAGCACACTCTTCAAAGGAAGCCCTTCCTGACTGACCCTCAGCCTGGCCGTCCCTGCCGCTCCTCACCCCGGGCCCCCAACCGGGCTCACCAAGCCACCTTCTTTGCATGTCTCCCCAGAGGAGTGGGCTTTGGTAGGGAGACATCTTGGTGCTGGCTGGTATGTGAGCCACCAGCTATGTGAGCTACTCAGGCCGTGGCTAAGTAGATAGATATGGGGACGACTGTAAGACCACCAGAGGCAAATGGATTGTGGTGGGGATGAGGGTGGAGAGCAGCAGAGGCCAGGGGCACATGGTCAGATCCTGGAGACCCAGGGTAGGTGTGGGGGACCTGGGTGCTTCTCTGTACATGGGTGTGCGTACTTGGGAGTGCTGAGATTTGGAGGGGCCTGGGCCCTCCTCTGTATGTGGGGGTGGGTAGACTCGGGGGTACAGGGGTATGGGGGGCCTGGGCTCTCCTCTGTATGTGGGGTGGGCAGACTCAGGGGTGCAGGGGTATGGGGGGCCTGGGCTCTCCTCTGTATGTGGGGGTGGGTAGACTTGGGGGTGCAGAGGTGTGGGGGCTCAGGCTCTCCTCTGTATGTGGGATGGGCAGACTCGGGGATGCAGGGGTGTGGGGGGCCTGGGCTCTCCTCTGTATGTGGGGTGGGCAGACTCGGGGTGCTGGGGTGTGGGGGGCTCAGGCTCTCCTCTGTATGGGTGTGGGGGGCTCAGGCTCTCCTCTGTATGTGGGGTGGGCAGACTCGGGGTGCAGGGGTGTGGGGGGCCTGGGCTCTCCTCTGTATGTGGGGTGGGCAGACTCGGGGTGCTGGGGTGTGGGGGGCTCAGGCTCTCCTCTGTATCTGGGGTGGGCAGACTCGGGGTGCTGGGGTGGGGGGCTCAGGCTCTCTTCTGTATGTGGGGTGGGTAGACTTGGGGGTGCTGGGGTGTGGGGGGCCTGGGCTCTCCTCTGTATGTGGGGTAGGCAGACTCGGGGGTGCAGGGGTGTGGGGGGCTCAGGCTCTCCTCTGTATCTGGGGTGGGCAGACTCGGAGTGCTGGGGTGTGGGGGGCTCAGGCTCTCCTCTGTATCTGGGGTGGGCAGACTCGGGGTGCTGGGGTGGGGGGCTCAGGCTCTCCTCTGTATGTGCAGTGGGTAGACTCGGGGGTGCTGGGGGGGCCCTGGGCTCTCATCTGTACACGGGGTATAGACTCAGGGGATGCTGGGGTGTGGGGGCCCGGACTCTCCTCTGTATGTGGGGTGGGTGGACTGGAGGTGCTGGGGTGGGAGGGGGACCTGGGCTCTCTTCTGTGCATGGGTAGGCAGACTTGGGACGCTGGGGTGGGGGAGGGCCTGGGCTGTCTTCTGTACATGGGGTGGGCAGACTCAGGGTGCCGGGATGTGGGGTGCAGGACTGGGTAGCCGAGTGGCAGGGATGCAGGTGGGCATAGAAAGCGACAGCGGTGCTGCCTTCGAGAGGCCCCAGTGCAGCCAGGGAGCAGGAGGCTAAAGCTGGGGACAGGATGGACATCAAATGGTATGAAAGCCATCTACCACCAAGCAGGGGCTGAGAGGCCACAGGGCCATGGGACAGAGGAGAGCCCTGAGGGCCTGGAGAGGTGGCCCCCAAGGGAGGGCGTGGAAAGAGGGGCCACATGGGAGGAGAGGAGGGGCTGTCCGCTGGAGATGGGGATTCCCAGCAGGGGAGGGGCGAGAAGGGGAGACGGAGTATTCCCAGCAGGGGCGGCCCCACGGGGAGCCAAGAGAAGAGGCCACAGGACAGCCCAGGCTGAGAGGGCAAGGGCGGTGGTGGGAGGCCAGCAGCAAGGGTGCTGTGCCGTCTGCGCTCTGCACCTGCACGGCCTCCCTGAGCCTCCGTTTCCCCGTGTAGAATGACGTGGCCACCTGCCCCAGGAGAGGGAGGGACGCAGCAGAAGTACCCAGCCAGGGGCTGCAGGGGACCTGAGAGGATCCTGCCCAGGGCTCCACCAAACAGCCCAGAAACCAAGAATCAGGCCTCACACACCTCTGGGCACTCTGGGCCCCCAGGAGAGGAGAGGAGAGCTGGGGCTGGGACGGGAGTGTCTGGGAGACCCACAAACACCAGGCTCCCTCTGGGCTCTCCAAAAGACCCCAAAGCCACTTCTTCCAGGGCGCCCTGCTGGCCGCCCTGGGGAAGCAGCGCAGCCATTACCAGTGTCATGTCACACGTGGCCCACACCGTGCTGTGCCAGGGGGACACTCGCTGGGCCTAACCCTGGGCACAAGGCAGGTGGGGTGCAGCGGCAGCCTCGACCTGTCTTACAGTCTCGATGCTTTTAAATACCAAAGACTTACTTTGTGAGATGGGACAACTACAGGACACTGAAGCCTCAGCCTGGCGTGTTCCCACGCACCCATGCCACTCTCAAACAACCGCAGCCACGCCACAGGGCCGCAGGGCACGACATGGCCCACAGAGTCCTTTACACAACACACCGACCACTCCAAGGCCAAGAGTGCGGTGCTTCTCACAGGAGCCTGGGCCCCAGCACCCTACTGCTAGAAGTGTGCTGGGTTTTAGAAGACAACGGGGAGAAGCTGGGATGTCTAGCTTTGGCCCACCATGTGCTGTGACAAGAGACCTTGGACTGGGGAACTGGTAAGCAACAGAAACGGGGGCTGAGGCCAGGATCAAGATTCAGAGAGGGCATCTTCTAGCTGTGCCCTTAACTGGTGGAACTGGAAAACAAGATCCCTCCCCTTCATGCTCTACCCACCCCTCTGGTGCCCCCACCTCTTAACCCATCCTACTGGGGACCAAATTTAACACACCAAGTTCAAGGACACACAACACAGACGCCATAGAGTACTGCTGGAATGGGCAAGCCTTGGACAGAGGTGAATCAACGTTCTCTGCCCAGCTATCTGCCTGGGACCAGCCCCGTCAGCTGAGCCCAAGCCCAGCCCATCTGGTCAGAGCCTCGTATGGTTAGAATTACACAGACAGGTCTGAGTGAGGCCATAGCCAATCTAGACCACCACCTGGTCAGCATGTCTGTATCAGCTGGAAGAGATGGAGCTATCCCCACCCCTGCAAGGGTCTTCTTTTCCTCCCAAGAACTCCACGGGGGACAGGGAGCTCAGGGGGCTCTGGGCCAGGGAGCCGTGTGCCATGCTGGAGTAGGGGCAGGTCAGGACTGCAGGGAGCCTGCCTCACACACTTGCACGGGGAAAGGAAACCCCAGGCAGGGCCAACACCCCACCCTCATTTGTTACTTCACGAGTCAGATACAGGAGCTGCAAGAAGCTAAACTCAGACCCCACACCAAGGACAGAGTTTTCTGATTGCCAAACCCAGCTCCCCCCACCCCCACTTCCCACCTCTAAGGCCCAGGAAGAAACATCTCCTGCCAGAGTCTCATCAAAAGGTCACCAGCCTCCATCTGAACCCAGGAGGCTGGCGTTGGCAGGTGAGGCGACAGTAAAGACAAAGGCCCTTCCACAGGCCACACGGCATCTGCAGCAGGATTCCTTCCCGCTCCTCCTGGACTCCCAGGGCCTTGGGAGCCCAGCACCCAGCTCCCCCATGCAGAAGTGGAGCCTGTGCCTCTAAGAGCAAGCTGCCCAGGAGGATCCAGGTTCCGGCTGGCACCGCAGCCTCCTTGCCAGGTGTCCTGCAGCGGACAGGGAGCCATGTCCCTGGGCCCAAGGTCCCGCTTTGCCCACTCACCTGCAACATGAGTTCGCACTCATCGCGCCCCACGAAGATGAGCTCTCGCGGGAGCCGGTGGCGTGTGCCGCTGCTGCTCACCAGGAACCAGGACGTGACACTCATCGTGGCACTCAGGAGGCCCAACTGGTCCTGGAGGGGGGACGGTCAGCAGAGTGGGCTCCCTGGCCCATGCCTCCGTCCCCTGGACATGCCCTAGGCTAGCACAGATGGGCTCCTGGAGGCACGCTGGCTGCTTCCAGCCACACCAGGCCACTCACCCCAGCAAGCCCCACCCTTAGGCCTTTGTTCTGAATGGTCAGCCCTCCCCTCCACCAAATCAGTGACACTCACCTGCCCCCCTCACTTCCCTCCTGTGTCCTCTGCTCCCACTACACCAGCCCTCTGCTCTCAAGCCCAGGTTTTCCTGTGTATGAATCCACATTCTCATGACCCACTGCTCACACCATGACCAGGAGGCCCACTCTCCTCGCCGGACACATCGAGAGTGTGAGGCAAGAAGGAAGCCTTTGGAGCCCACATCGGCTCCATGGCGGCAGGGCGTGGGACAGAGTGAAAAGGCGGGCCTTGAGTAGCTGAGTACAATGGCTAAAGCCCACAACCCCAGCTCTGGGGGAGGAGCATGGCTCAAGGCCAGCTCCATCTCCACTAATGGCTAGACAAAGCGACACACCCCTGTCATCTCAAGCTACAGGAAAAGTCCAATGCAGGTAGCTCACACCTGTAATCCCAGCTACTCAGGAGGCTGAGATCCAGAGGATCACAGTTCAAAGCCAGCCTCTGAAGAATAGTCCTTCAGACTCAAAAAAAAAAAAAAAAACAGGCTGGAGGTGAGATTCAAGTGGTGCCAGCTGAGCAAGTGTGAGGCCCTGAGTTCAAACCCTGGCACTGCCCAATAAAAATTTAAAATAAAATTTAAAAAGCCAAGCTACAGAAGGGGCAGAATGGCACATACAGAAGGGGCACAATGGCACATACCTGCTATTCCAGTGTCAATAAGAGAAGCCAGGCCTGCCTAGGCCTTATGACACCCTATCTCAAATAGAACCAATGCAGCAAGGCACTGGTGGCTCATGCCTGTAATCCCAGCTATTCAGGAGGCTGAGATCTAAAAGCCATGATTTGGAAGCCAGCCAGGATAGGAAAGTCCAAGACACTTTTATCTCCAATTAACCACCAAAAAGCCAAAAGTGAGTTGTGGCTAAAGTGGTAGAGTACTAGCCTTAAGGAAAGGAATAAAAAGGAAAAAGAAAAAGAAAAAAAGCTCAGGGAAGCATGAAGGCCCTGAGTTTAAGCCCCAAGACTAGCACCAAACACAACAACAAAGGCAAAAATGGGCAAGGGGAGTGGTTCAAATGGTAGATTATTTGTTTAGCAATGTGAGGTCCTGAGTTCAAAGCCCCAGTACTGCCAACAATGAAAATAAAAATGTGTGGGGCTGGGAAGGTGACTCAGTGGTAGAGCGCTTGCCTTGCATGCATGAGGCCCTGGGTTTGATTCCTCAGTACCACATAAGCCAAAAAGAAAAAAAAAAGCCGGAAGTGGCGCTGTGGCTCAAGTGGTACAGTGCTAGCCTTGAGCTGAAGAGCTGAGGGACAGCAGCCCAGGCCCAGAGCTCAAACCCCACTACCACCAAAAATAAAACAAACAAACAAAAAAATGTGGCCTCAATATCAGAGCATGTACCCAAGTAGGGGTGTGTGTGTGAGCTCTGTGCTGGCATGTGGGTCCTGTGCTCATTGGGCCACATCTAGGCCTCTTGAGCAACTTGAGAGTATCAGAACAGCTCACATGGGTGGAGGTGGGGCTGAGTGGAAGAACGCTTGACTAGCAGGTGCAAGGCCTGGGCTCCATCCCCAGCACCACAAAACAAACAACAACAAGCTGGAGCGAGCAGGACTAGTCAGAAGGTAAGGGCGGTAACCCGGAGAGATGTGAAAGTGGCCAGGCCCCAGGGGGCAGTGGAGGGAGGACAGGGCCATGCACACGCAGTTTGGGTGTGGACTCAGGGGCCAAGGCCAGAGTGAGGAAGGACTCTCAGGTCCTGGGCCATTGCTGAATATGCACATGCACGTAAGGTCACACACAGGCATTAGAGTCTGGTCCTGGGGCCGTGCTCCTCCCAAGAACACGCGTGGCCCTCAGCCCTAAGGTGACAGGCCCTGTCCTGCAGTGCCCATGCCCCAGCTCTTTGGCTCTGTCTTCCAAGTGCCTGTCTGAGTGCTGACGTGTCCCGTGCCACACATCACCTCGGGCGAGCAAGAGGAAGATGTAGGAAAATCTGCACGGAGACAGGTGGCCAAAAAACCCTCCACCCCGGGGACCCCTGTTCTTCCCTAGGGCCCAGCCTCCAGCAAGGCAGGCCCTGGAAGCCAAGGAGGTGAGACGTTGATGCTCCCGCAGACCCCAGGCGCCCGGCAACCCCGCCTCCCTGCAGGCCCAGCCCTGCGCGGGGCAGGGCAGAGC